GGCCAGGATTTTTTTTTCTTTTTTTTTTCTTTGGTTTGCGGGGGGGGGGGGGTCCTTGTTTTTTTTTTAAACCCCCCCCCAAGGTGCCCTTCCCTTTCGGCCCCCAAAAAGAGGATTTTTTCCCCCGGGGCCCCCCCCCGGGGGTTGGGGTTTTCCCTTTGGCCCCCAAACCCCCCGGGGTTTTTTTTTTTTTTTTTTTTGGGGGGGTCCGTGGGGGAAAAGGGCTTCAATTTTTTTTTTCTTTCCCCCGGGGAAAAAGGGGGGTTTCGGGGGGCCCCCCCCCCCCGGGCCCCCACCTTCCAAGGGGTTGGGGGTTTTTAAATTTCCCCTTTTTCCAAAAAAAAAAAAGGTTCCCCTCCTTTTCCCCCCCAAAAATTTTTGAACCCAGGGGGGGGGGCCATTTCCCCCCCCCCCCCCCCCCCCCCCCTTCACCTAACCACACACCAACCGACACACAGACACACACCCGTTCTTTGATTTGCAAACGCGAACTACGGACGAGACGCCGGAACCCCCTCCCCCCCCATCTTCAAAGAGCTGTTTCCCCCTCTACGTTCGACGCACCTGTCCCACAAAACTGATGGCGTCCTCGGAGACGAGGTGCTGGTTCTCGGTGTTGACGAACTTCTGCCACGGGCGGTTGCTGTGCCTGCCCATGATGCCGTCAAAGTGAGGGTCGAGCTCCAGCTCGTACTTATCTAGGTAGTTGAATAGCTCGTCGGTACCCAGCACCTACAATATTGGATCGAGAGGAGCACCCCAACAAAGAGAAAAAGGATCCACGTGCGTGGACACATTGCAGCGGGGTTCGGCGCCAATGCAAGAAACACAGAGAAGCAGGGTGTCAGCGGCGGCGCGTGCGGAACAAACAGCTCATTGATGCCCTCCAGGCGTGCAAACTAGAGAGTCCACAAGCTCGTATGTACATATGTTAAAGTACATAGAATTAACAGAGGTCGTGTATCGACAAGCTTCGTCGGTACCGTCGGCACAACACAGCACTGCTCCCGTCGACACCAAAACCTGATCCTGCTTGGCACAGGGATAACAACAGAAGTAACACTTGGATCGGACAAGGCCGGTCCCATCGAGAAACCAACTACCGGCATGGGCCAAAACCGCCAGCGAACCCACGTGAAGCGGCCTCAATCCAAACTGCCGGTCGACACAGCATCCACTCGTGCCCCGCCTACGCGCCCACCCACCCCCAAAAAAAGATCGCCACACACCATGAAACAAGGGAGTCCACGGTAAGCCTCCTCCCTCCAACTGCCTGCCTTCGCAACAGTCAAGTCAGTCGGCCATGCCCCGCAAAACAGACACCTTAACACTAGACAGCAAAACACCCGCACCAACAAAAAACAAGAACGAGACTCGACACCTACTGCTGTGCATCCAAAACAACAACAAGCCGGCCGGCCGGCCGGCCGCTTCCCTTCCGTTCCCTTGTCACCTTAGCGATCTTGACGAGCTGGTCATAGTTGTCGTGTCCGTGGAAGAACGGCTCCTTCCGGAAGATCATCCCCGCGAACATGCAGCCCAACGACCACATGTCCAAGGAGTAGTCGTACTCCTGCAGGTCCACCAACAACTCCGGCCCCTGCGTTTGGTGGTGTTTGGTGGTGTGGTGTGTTTCGGAACCCGACGAATCAAGACAGAAAAAGACGACAACGGCGGAAACAAACAAACAAACAAACAAAAACACGTGAGCCTGGCCCCTGCATTGGTGTTTCGCCCGACAACAAGACAAAAGACAGAGAGCAGCGGAAACAATAAACCGCGAGATACCGCCCCCTTCCGTTGCGGTGTTTTAGGCCGGCAAAACACGTGAAACCGACCTCTGTCTTGGTGTTTTGGCCGACAACAAGACGGACAAGGGAACAGCCGACACACAAAAACGCGTCATACCGACGCCTGCGTTGCGGTGTACGGGCCAAACCACGTAACGGCCACGACAGCTAAAAAAAATAAAAACCCGTTAGACCGGCCGCGGGTCGGTGTAGTGGACAACAACAAGACAGAGAACGCGCCGAAAACAAGAAAGCACGCGAAACCGACCGACCGGCCCGGCAGAAAAACTGTTAGCATCAGAACACGGACAAGCGACGAGAATGAGAACGAATCTCGGTTCCCATTGGGGGCAAGGCAGGCGGGGGGGGGGGGGGGTAGGCACCTTTATTTGGGTACACTTCGTTTTCAGATGAAGCAAAGAGTAAAACGATCATTCACAAAAAAAAAAAAAAACAAGCACGGATGGTCCAAGTGCCCCAAGAACCCTGTCCAGCCGGCAACCACGGCCGCACGCACCTTGAAGTAACGCGACGCCACCCGCACGTTGTACTCCCTACCCGGGTGGTAGAATTCTGCCAGCCCCCAGTCGATGAGCCTGAGCTGCTTCTGCTCATGGTCGATCATGACGTTGTGCGGCTTCACGTCTCGGTGCATGATTCCGTTGGAGTGCGAATAGTCGAGAGCCTTGAGCAGCTCGAAGATGTAATACCTTCGGCGTTGTTGGTTGTTGGATTCGTGTAAAGGAACGGAAGAACGGGAGACGCGGAACAGGAATGAATTAACCTCCGAGTCGCTCAGCACACTCAGCACAAATGTGGACAGTCGACAATCTGTTGAAATTTATCAAGGTTAAGGTTGCCTCTCCTCGGCGGACAGCTGCCGGCCCACTCAGTTTCTTTTGCAATGGACGCCGACAAAACACCATGTCAAACACACACACACACACACACATCTTCACATACCACACAGACAGACAGCTGTGTGCCGAACCAAACCAAGCTGCCGTCTCCACCCGCCACCCCAGAGGAGCACATATCTACGGTTCATCTCCTCCGCGTGCACGGGGCGACGACACGCGCAACAACAAAAGCAAGAACGGTGGTTCTCTCTCATTCGCGCCTTTCTCCGTACCACTACACCTCTTGTCTCTTCACTCCTACCTGATGTCGTAGTCGGTGAGAGTCGGGTAGAGCACCTTGAAGTCCGTGTTGTTGATGTACTCGAACACGAGGCTGGGCGTCTTGCTCTGCGGGTCACGGACCACGTCCAGAAGCTGAATGATGTTGGTGCCCCCGCAAAGGTTTTGCAAGATCTTGATCTCCCTGATGCCCAAGTGGTGGTTTCGGTAACAAACAAGACAGAGAGAGAGACAGAAAGAAAGAGCAAGAGAGAGAGAGAGAGAGAGTGCGTGAGAGAGAGAGAGAGAGAGACAGACCGACAGAGAGAGAGAGAGAGAGAGCGGAAAGCACGTGTGAGAGGATTCGTGGTCCGATCGATAGTGCCAAGTTGCACACTCAGGTTTCGGCAAAAGCATCACCTTGTCGCTCGTGTGCACGCTTCCATTGAAGCAGTGGCAGACAGATGCGATAGAAAAAGAGTGAGAGAGACAAAGAGAACGCACTCATCAAAACCAATCAGACGTTCAGACGTCACCTCCACCACCACCACCACCACCAACTCCAGCAATACAACAGCACCACCACCCAACATCGATCCCAACTCTAACTCCAGCATAAACAACGGCCGCATTACAGAACGCGCCACCACGCAAGTCCTCTTTACCGTAGATTAAATGACACAATGTATCATACCCCCTGAACTGAATGTCAAAGCTCGACTACTCCACGGCAAAAGAGCACGCCGAAAAAAAATGATACGTTTTCGCAAAGATCGCGACGAGATGATTCCAACGCCGCCACGTTTCAGCACCGCCGCTGGTTCCACTGTAGAATAATCGAGCTTTGAAAATCGGTCCAAGGGGCGTGGTATCTTGTGTCGCCTACGGACTATTGGGCGAGGCTCGTTTCTATTTTCGGCAATGGTGTAGACTACCCCCACGGCGACTGTGTAGGTTTCAGCGTAGGCGTCTCGACTGAGGACCTACCTGTTGTTATGGCCAAGTTCATATATTTTGCATGCATTGTTTGAGGGTCAAGTTCTAAGCTGCTGATTTCGAAAGTAGTAGTGACGCGTTCAGTACCACCACCACAATAAAACAAACACAAAAAAAATTCCCGCAGGCCGCCGTTACCCCCGCACCCCCGCACCTCTTGATCTTCTTCTTCTTGACCGGCTTGAGGATCTTGATGACGCACTTGGTGTTGTTCAGCACATTCATCCCCTCGAACACCTCGCTGTACTTCCCCCTGCCGATCTTGCGAACCACCTCGTAGTCCTCCTGATCCCCCCAGTTCACCACCAGGCTCTCGTAGTCCCAGTACTCTCGGGGCCGGTGGACGTTCACATCCGCGTACACCCTGGGGTTGTGGTTTGGTTGTCCATGGTGGTGTTTTTTTTTTGCCGTGAGAATATCGTCACAGGGGGTCGTTGTTTCTTGTTGGTGTCGTAGTTGTCGATGGTGATGGGTTTGATTTCCAAATAAACGGTGGTCGTTTTGGCTCGTAAGTGGCTTGGTAGTCCACGGTGGCAGGCTTGTTCTTAAGAGACCCTCAACATCTTTGTTTTTTTCTGTCGGTGTTGTTTTGTGGTTGTCGATGGTGATGAGTTTGACTTCCGAATACGTGGTTATCGTGATCGTTGGGTCGGAAGTGGTTTGGATGTCGACGGTGGTGGGTTTGTTTCTTAAGAGATCGTCAACGACTTTCGTTGTTTCTGTCGATGTTGTTTGTGGTTGTCGATGGCGATGAGCGTTGTTTTTGAAGATATCGCCATCGATGGCAGGCAGAAGCGTCCAACGAGGACTGCTGTTAGGGCGAGTGAGGGCGACGAGATTTCGCCAGCTTCAGACCGCTGTTTACTATTTTGGTACGCTGTTGTTTATAGCTGGGAGGATATTAGGAAAAATAAAACACGAACACAGAGAAGACCACCCCACCCGTTCGAGAGATAACCAAAGTGGTCAAGTTTCGCAGAACACAATTGCAGTCAAATTTCCGTCGGAAAAGGCTGCCTGGCGGCTTCATCGTGTACGTTCGTCGGCCCGTTCGGTCAAGCAGCAACGATCTCAATTCTTTGGTGAAGCCCTTCCAAATTCCCCTGTTGTACCCTGGTAGTCAGTGCTGATGTTGCTGCTGTGGGTATGGAGCGAATGGGCAATTCCAACTTGCATTTCCTTCCTTCCTCTGGTGAAAACAAACGCCCATCGATACACGTGAGTGCGATATGCATGCACACCATGCTTGAAGACGACCGAGCGTGTCGTAGTTGAGGACTGGAGATCTATGAGGACCGGGCGTGAATGTATGTAGACAGAAGACAAAACATATAGTCACCAAAGAACTGGATGGACTGTCGCTTGATGGGGGCAGACGACAGGATGAACGCCAGGTTGTGCAACCATCACATGTGTGTCCTGCTTTCTACAATATGCTCTCTTGAGTCGTCGGCTGCTTGGTTGCAGCAACTGCCAGAAGGGCTTGCTACCTTGCTCCGCATGTGTGTACCAAGGGAGTAGAGTAGTAGTTGCATAGGGCTAGAGTTCCCCCTCGCCCCCCGACATACAAATATAGAGTAGCACCGGAGCCGGCGCAACCCCGCATATCATTGCAAATATTTTTATGGCCCGTGGGCTTCCTGGTGCCGTCAGGGGCAGGAATTCCCGGGCGAGATGAAGGAATGGAGAAACAACACCCGAAGCGGTATTCGTACTTTTGGTTTTCAGAGAGCATCGAGAAGAGAGAGAGTTGTAGGGGGACGTGGGGATGCAGCACAAAAACGGAATACGCGCGCGCAAAATATCCATCCCAGACCAGGTGCGGCTGGCCACGCAACACACAAGGGTGGGAAGCCGAGCACCTCATCGCGGCAGCGGTGCACTTACTGCCGATGCCTTTCTTCTGTCTCACCTGGCCCTACTCATGCTGCCCGCCGTGTGGACGCCGCTGTCAGCGGCTGCTGCAAAGCGCGGCCTCTCAAATGCCCTGCCCGAAGCACACCAGCCACGGCAAGTTTTTGCCCTTCTGACACTGGAAACCACCAATTTCACGCCAAGACAGGTGCGGTAGTTGATTGTGAACGCGTGTAATCTTGGCCTCTGGCCTCACTGATGTCCTACGGTCGCAGCCCTTTCCGTTTTGTGTGATTTCTCTTCTCTCGCTCTGCCGCGCTGGCCTCTGCGGCCCCGCAGATGGGACATATATCATCCCTGTCACAATTCTCCTCGGAATGCTAGCTGCTGGCCCCCGGGCTGGCATTTTTGTGCGGCAAGCAAGAGCCTTCTTTGACTCGGACACCACTCTGTTCCACATGCAGTATAATTACCATACCTCTCATGCGTGACGTGCATGCACACAAAAATCACGCGTTGGTGTACCGTCCGGTTCGATTTTCTCGAGATGCTCTCTGTTCCTCTTTATGGTGATCTACAGATGAAATATAATTTCGCATGTGTTGTGCCATTTCATTTCACGTCACTGCTGTCCTCCCTCATCACGAGAGAGAGTGCGGTCGGGTGGCGAGTTGCGAGAATTTCCGTGTTTTTTATTATCGTATGTGTTTTCATCGTAGGATCGCCACCGTCGGTGGTGAGCTAGTTACTGGACTGCTGCATCCCACACGCGGCAAAGTGGAGAGCTTGGGAGAGTGGAACAAGAGCCAGAAAACGAAAAACAGTTAGATACGTACACACCTGATTGCAGGTGATCACGTGATCCCTTGAAAAGGGGTGAGCGAGACCTGCAACTTTCCAACATTACAACTACCTGGTATGTAGGATCGAAGTTTGGGTGTGAGTCGGGAGGGAACCCCAAGTTCATCATCACGAAGATGACATATCACGGGGTTAGTACGCAGACTATTTCAGGGCAGTGTTGTACGCAGCAGCCACCGCCATCGTACACCCATCGTCATCGTTGCATGTGTCGCATTGAACATCTCATTAAAGTCCCGATCGTTGCTCGCGCATTACAACCACGGACCTACGGATAGCTCTTGTCCCCGTGGTATCCACCTGCAACATCGCAAACCAAAGTGGCCATCACCGAAACAAACTACAACAGCGGGAGCATGCACCCCAGCGCGATGTAAACTCGCGAAGCAGGTCTTCAATGTGCACATACGAACCAAACATGCTCAAATGCTACGTCAAGCCCAAACGCGGGTGCAGAATCCAATGGCACCTACACCTTGCCGGTCTGCAAAAAGCCATCAGAGCAGTGCTGCAGCTGCTGCGCAGCCAGCATGCCTCTGTGAGCGCTAGATGAAGGTCAAACGCGCTGCCGCAAGCCTTATGAGAAGGTCACCAACAGCAAGCAATCCAAGATCCTTTCCCGAACGCCTGTACACGGTTCTCCTTCGTTCGATTGTGCTATGTACAGCAACGCACGAACCACATCGCAACCGCGAAAGCGTCTTCCTGGCAAGGGCGCTCAGCGAGTCCGAACCAAATGGAACACTTCACGAAGGTAAAGACGCAACAATGGCGGGAACGTGTACGCTTCTATCCTTTGCGTCAAGCGCAAGGGACCAATATCCCCAAAACAAGTCGCACAGCAGTGCACAGGCCGCCACGCACATCGCCGCCACCGAAAACAAATACCTAACCGACAACAAATGCCTAGCAATAACAGCAGTGCTTCTCTCGTCGAAACATATCTTGCAACGGCCCTCCCGATCACAAACATCCAAACCAAAATCCTCCCGACTATTACTAAATCACTCGTCTTCCTCTTCCTCCTCCTCCTCCTCCTCCTCCTCCTCTTCCCCGGCCGCCTCGCCCTCCTCCGCCTTAAACAGGTCCCTCGGGTCGAACGCCGTCGCGGGGAGCGTGGCCGCCCGCGGGACGGCCTCTCTCTTGCTCTCCGGGTCGCTCAGGGTGACCAGCCCCAGCATGCCCGCGAAAAAGGTCAACCCCCCGCCCCACCACGCGAACGCCTCCGACATGGACATGTGCGGCGCGTCAAAGTCGATGGTCGTCTCGGGCGCAACGCCGTCGTCCCAGATCAGCTCGTGGTTCTCGTCCAGCTGTGAAGAAGAGCACGCCGTTCGAGTTTGGTGGTCGTCGTACATGCGGTCGTCGCGTTTCGGTTGGCATCGGTTTGGTTTTCAGTAGGCGTTCGGGGTAGGGACGACGGGCGGGAAGGGGGGTTGCAGGCAAGGAGGAAACGGGTTGGGGAGGAAGAGGGGTCGGCATGAGGTGGAAGTTCGAGAGACATGAGAGCGCCTTTGGCGACCGACAGCGGGGGTTGTCAAACAACAGCCAGCAGGTGTTCATCGCACGGGACATCACCGAACGCGAGAACGTACACACGTGGGATGTTTGGGAGTGAGGACAGCAACGTGGCAGGACGCCGGAGTCTGGAAAACCATACGCACAAGAACAAGGACAACGAGGCATGCCCGATGTACCCCGCCCCGCCCATTCGGACCGCTGTCGACTCCCCAAGCTCGTCTCAGCTAGCTTCCTCACTCCCTCTACAGAGTATGCGCACCGATACGTGGTAGAAAATGATCTACTGTTGTCTGTTGTTGTGTGTTTAGACACCACCCGTAGTAAAGTGAAGCAAACCCAACAGAGTACCTAGCCCGCTGGCTCGGAAGTCCAATGGGACAGCCTCTATCTAATAACCCTGATGCCGACAGCCACGGCAAACCATGTGCGCAGCGGGCGGGTATCTGCCTGCGCATGCAGGAAATAAGATGTGCCTGCAGCGATGTGGGTTCTCTGTGGATACAGACATGTGTAAGGACATGGGGTGGATTTGCATACATGAATAATGCATCTTTTTACCCTGAACCCACCGGCGATGGACTCTATACCCTACAACCTTTACCGTAACCCCAACTACGATCACGGTGAGGGTTTTGGCGGAAGGTGCTACATCTCTCTCCACTTGGATCGCTTGCAGGCACATTTTTCTATTGTTGCATGTGCAACAAAGTGTGCTTGTGTCGTGAAATGTTGCCCCATGAGTTACACTTTGATGGTTCGCATTGATTGGAAGGTGTGAGCATGTGGAGCGACGTTGTGTCTCGTGGCATACATCCGTCGTGGTGCTCTGGGGCAAATCGGAGCTGATACCGCAGGCCGTTCACGGGAACATTCATGAAAACGCTCTGCACCACAAGAACAAAATCAACAACGTAGGAACCGGCCATCGGAAGAGACTCTGGCGACAGTCCTCTACTTTGGTCTGCGCACGGCACGAGCGGAGTCCATCATCATGTGTCTGCAGCATTTTCTAGACACACAGACGACGAGCAACATAGCTGTCAAACCAACCTTACGTTTGTTCGTGATGAAAAAAACAAGCGTTTGATGCATGCAACCATACAGTACACACATACGGATTCAACACTTGCTGGAGAGAGCATGCGAATGGGTTTGCCGAGTGCTAAACGCGTTTGATTAATGGAGTCCTGCATCATCGGCATACAGCATGTGAGCGCACACCTATGCAAATGCATGACAACAATGAGTGCACACCTCTCAGGTCCGGTACAATATGCGAACGTCCTGGGCGGAGGTGCTGAATTTTTGCGCACAAGAGATGCCGCACCTTTTCGAGGTATGTAGACATGAACATTCCGGCTGATTGCGCATCATCGTCACCTTGCTTTGCCGCGAACAAGACAGACGTTTAACCTTTAGATGCTGCTGTCGACACAACTTACTGTAGTACCACCTCTTGGGAAGAGTGAGACACGCAACGAGGGACACGAGGTCAATTGAGAGCATACCTGATAGTCGACCGGCTTGTTTCGTGCGAAAGGCGGCTGCGGCGGCCCTCCCCCACCCCGAGCCACCTGCCTCGCGGCTGTCGATGTCATCGCCCCACCCCCTCTACGAATTACATGCCGGAGAGCCATAGCAAGGCACGCACACACACCTTCTTGCAACGCTAACCCAGCAGCTATATGCCCGCGGCTGGTCGGCGGCGCGGTCGTGGGGGGATAACTGGGCCCCGAAGCGGGTACGTATGCATATTTTTCCTGACTATTTTTGCTGATTCTACGGTGCTCCTCACGGAAACAGCGGCACCAGGCAGCAGCTTGGTCCGTGTCACGCTCAGCAGAAGCAGTAGAGCGCACGCACAGGCCGCCGTCGCAAACATGGCGATCCAAACGAAGCACAAGCTTCTCATCTTCTGGATCATCATGCTGAGCTTCATCGCGTTCGGGGCGTGGCACAGCGAGGACATGGAGACGCCGTTCTGGGCGATGTGGACCGTGCCGATCATCTTTCTCTTCGTCTGGCTTCTGTTCGACTGCATCTTCGTCGACGACAAGGCCTTCGTCTTCGACCACGACTACGAGGTCAGTCGGCGGCTTTTTTATACCACCACATCCCACGTTTCTCGAGAGTGCTGTCAGCAAAAACTCTTGTGACGTTTTCGTTGCGGTGTAGGTCTGTTGTAGTAGAAGGCAATAACTATTTTTGCTGGACCTCTCGCCCTGCTTCTGTTTTGGGACGCTTTGCGTGCTTCGCCGCCGCCGCTGCTGCTTGGTGCTGTCTGTCTGTCTGTCTGTGCTCGCCTATCTCGTGTTCAAGGGTTTATTTTAGCACGTAGCCACCTTTGCTGCTGTTCGCCCGTACGCATGTCTCTTAAACATTTGCCTCGTGTACAATGTATAATGGACAAGGTGGCCTGATTCACTGATGGTCTGAGTGAAAACGTGTGCCAGGAGAGATGGTCCGCTTGCTGCTTTTCTTACACCGCTGTACCGTATGCCAACCTATGTACTGCTGTACGCTTGTCACCAGTATCATGCCGTAAGCTCACCAGACCTACTGGATGCGTGTTGAGGGGCTCATAGCTCCGAGAGTGCTCAACGAGGATTTCTTTCTTCACCAATAGATGCCGCTCCCCTTCATTCGTAAGCACAAGCAGTTGGGACGCAGGCTTCCGAGCTTCGCGCCCTTGCCATCCCTCTGTCCAGTTCCTATACTGCGGTCGCATACGTCCAGACCGTTCTACAGCAGTAGGTCCACCAGTAGTCGATGGTGTTCGTGCCTTTTTGCGCGGATGATCACTCTGCAACGGGACCTGCTCCTCAACCTACTTCATGAGTACGTGGGACCTCCTGATGCCCGGTTGATACCGGTGGCGCTACTGCTTTGGTTGTAGAAAAACGGGTGAAATCCTCAGTAGTTGCTGCTGTTTACGGGCAAGGTTCCTGTACGCCGGGAAAAGAAAGATGTGCCCCTTGTATACATATGTGGGGTGATCTATCTCCCATGCGCATGCTGGTACTGCCTACAGCAGTGTACTCGCACAGCTACCGTAGGTGGCACGAAATACCGCACACCCTCGATCGATTTCCAGAGTTCAATTTCTCCGCGATGAAGACGATGCACAATCACGTGTGTCAGGTTTTCGGAAAGCTCTCGACGAGACGGTTCCAACGCCGCCATGTTGGGCACCGCTCTGTTGTCCCTGCTGTGGATTAATCGGGCTTTGACAATCGGTCTGGGGTGTGTGGCATCTTGTGTCACCTACTGCAGATGGGTTGGAAATAATACCTAAGCCGGTCGCCTCGTCGTTTTGGCATTGGCTTCAATCACGCGCGCGCGTGTGCACGTTCGTTCATGTCGTCGGCTCTCCTCGTCACCGCTGTGTTTGATTCTCGTACCACACACCCCACTCCTGCGTCTCCATGCGCTCCTTCTCACCTACTCGTGTCTCCCCCGCCTGTGTTGCCTTACCCCGCTCTTCCCTCCCCCCCCCCTTCGTTTTTCGCATCCGTTCCGTACATCTTGTGCTTGTCGCTTTTGGGGTCGCCGCCGATGCCCGTTTCCCCGCAGAACTGGAGCAGGAGAATGGATCCCATGTATTAAACACGGAAGTGGATAGAAGCTAGTTTTCTTCTTTTTTTTCGTCCTTGTTGGTTCGTCGTGTGGTTCCCCTTGGTATTATGTGTTCCTTTCTTAGGGAGGGGGGAGGGAGGTTGGAGGGCAAGAACTCCCAGATTCTTGGGAAGAGCCCTCTTCGACGAGCTGGCCTTTGGGCTTGGTAGCACGGACGAGGTAGGTAGGTATCGTTTGTAGCTAAACGATTACTGTAAATTGAATAATTTCACCACGCAAGGGACGCGCCGAAGAAACAAACAAATCGGCCTTTAGCTGTTTTTGGCTAGCGAAGATGTTGGCCGAAAGCAAGAGTTCCACCATGGACCAGCATCCACCGCATTTGATAAATGGACGTGCGTGGAGCAGAGCGGCCGGTGCACCCGGAGGCGAGAAGAAGCGATGGGGCGCATGTGGACCGCAATGCCAGGGTGCACACCTCACAGGAGTGCTTGCGTGTTTTTGGTGGCGCTTGCGTGCTTACTGTTGCTCTTTGACCTTGGTTGTCGACTGCCGACATGGACTTGATTGTTTTGCGCGGCCAATTTCGTACTAGAGCATGCCCGGGGTCCTTGAATGACGTTGGTTGTGCACTCCCGCCAACCCCGACCCACCCCCTCCCACACAGCATACGGGCGTGCTTTATCCCCAGAGCGAAATGTTCAGTATAACGGCGGTGTATGGAGCGACTTATACGTGTCGAAAGTCCCGGCCGACATACACCATCCCTTACATGTTTTTGTCGTGTGATGAAAGCTACAGAGGTCGTCACATGTTCGACTTGTTTCGTGCAAATTACACCCAAGGAAAATTGCCAACGAGTAGTGCAAAACACCTGGATCAGTGGGGCACGTCGAAGGCACAGCGTGTCCACCCGAACGATAGGTTATCCGCAGAATAAAAGCGTTGCATCTCGGCAGTAGTTGCCTCTCTCTCCGTACTGTTCTCTCGCGAACCCGGGTGAAGGACGAACACAAAAGTCGTATGAGACGCAACGCTCCGCGTGTGTTGCGTATGCTGCCATGCTATCCCTTGCGGACGTCAGACTACAAACTTAGGTACATATATAGACGCACCAGTCATACAAAAGGTGTGCCGACACTCGCAGACCCAGAAACCGTTGGGACTTTGGCAGCATTCGGAGCACGACACAGGCACGACGCCCCGAGCTTAGCAAACTGACAGAGGCGGCGCGCTTAGTTTGTACGCCGGATGTCTCTGATGAAATCTGGTGGAAGGATGGCGAGCTTCGTCCAGCGTTGATCTATCGAACGGGCGACCTTTCGGTGTTGAGCTGGTGCTGCGAAGGAGGAAGGCTTCGCCTTTTTGGGGCCACTCAATCCACCAAACTTGACCAAAGGCAGCCCCGTCCCTCTCGCCACCCCTTCGCCGTGCCTCGAGGAATTCCCCTCGCTAGCCAGCAGCTCTTCGTTGTATTATTTCCTTCAAGAGCGAGAAATCAGTCCGTACACATTTTTCAGGGACCAGAAACCAAAAATGGATCGAAACGAAGAAAGCTCGACTAGACCCGGTCCGGCACTACCACACCAGAGCTGTGCGAATACATCCTCTCGGTCTACTGCTATTTCCAACGTGTCTCCAGCTCAAGTCGCAAAAGCGACCACAACGGAATTAATCGTCCGCATCGAAAAACGCTTTCATGGTATCGACGTCCAAAACCACATCCTCCCCCTCAGCGGGCATTCCAAAACGTCCGGGAACAGTAGCTCCCTCGCCATTGCCACTCCCCGCGTCGGAGCTCGCGACGAAGTCCGGGTGCTTGGCGTACGGGTCGATGCACAACGCCAAGCCTTGAGCCGCCACCTCTCCCAGGTCGAGGGGGTCACCCTCCATGATTTCATCGTCCGTTTCAGTGTCCTCTTCCAGAGCCCACAGCGTGGATTGCACGCTGTCTAGGCTAACCTCCTGTTCGATGGGTTGGTAGGGGCGTGGATGGGAAGAATGATGGTTTTCGTTATTCAGCACCCGTTTTTTAATAGCAGTGCTCAAGCACGTAAGGCGGCTAATCAAGCACGGCGAAAGTGGCGCCAGCAATATTAGCACTTGGCACCGATAGGATTGCACAACATCTCCTGGGTTGGGGCAGCAGACGAACCTGCAATCATCAATTTTTACCTGTATCGCGGTGCTGAATTCTCGTTCGACCGGGAGTACAAATGACTCCAGAGTGGCCGCGCAGTTCTGGGTAACATTGCCTTTCACGCGCCCCTGCAGCAGATACGCCCCCGACGAAACAAAATGTACGGGACAGCAGCGTATGGAAACGATAGCAAACGATACTGTGGACTGCAATAGTCACGGCGGGCTATGTATGGCAATCAATGGCACCGCCAACGCAGCGGTACGAATACCGATGCATCGGCGCAGACAAACCATGATACAAGACAGACTGACAGCAGTTGTCAGCCAGGGAACCAGCAAGCAAAAATGAGCGGAATGGCACCAGGATGAAGGCGACATGGAAAACGGGGGACATGTGCATACGCACACGTGCGCAAGCAGTGACCAAAGTTTCGTCATGCGGAGATAAATGCATGTTTTCCCATAACTGGTGAACGCAGCTGAAAATTCCCGCTACCCACGCCCCTGATCATCCCCGTGCACCAGCACAAGCCAAGCGTAAAAGACTCCAACCTCTCACCCGGATCTTTATTTTTCGGGCGTCTGAGCCGCGAACAACCCTGAAGTCGGCCTTGAGGCCGGTTATCGCTTCGCACGTGAAGCGTTGGGCGAGAGCGGCGCACTCGTTCTCGGTCGCCTCTACGCTGAAGTACCTGTCGAAGGAGCAGCCAGAAAATGCAGGGGATGCGCGTCGGATTTCGCGAGAACAGGAAGGAAAATAGAAAATCCTTCCCCAACGGTCAGCCTAGCAGCTGGACGCACGACATGTAATTAGAGTCAAGCTCACGTATCCAAAAACTTATTTGTGTCAACCACATCCATAGCTGTTGTGTAGCTCACGTCATGAACGGCCATGTGGTACTTTAGGCGACACACCCTACTACTTGCTGGCGCTACCTTAAAATATATAGCTTCGAAACTGATCTAGCAGCGGCACAACTGCACGATGACATGCCTCTACAGCATCTCATGTTGGTGGCCATCCCACCGATACTAGCAGTCTCGCGATTCACGCTCAGGCTACGGGAAATACAGCGCTGTGGTGTGCAGCGACGTCGCGTATGGAAACCCACTTTGGCTTGCGGCTGAGCTCCGAGCAGTCAATCTTCCTCGAGAACTCCGCCGGGGCCCTGTCGTCCAGGGACGACATCCTCGACCCCCCGCCCCATATGTCACCACCGTCCCCAGCCGTTTCGAAAGGAGAGGGAGCGCTGGTGCCACTACCGACACTGCTTCCGCTGCTGTTGCTGCCGCCATCACGCCCGCTGCTTCGCCCGCCCCTGCCACCCCTCCCTCCCCGCCCCTTGCCCTTCTTTCTGTCCCTGGAGTACTCATCGGGTCGGTCGGTTCTTCGCCTCGACGAGTCGCCACCTGATCGTCCTCCGCCGCGCGCGCTGAGCATCACCGAGCTCCTCCTGACTCTCCGAGTGGTTAGAGCGATGCTAACAGTGCCGCTGTTGTGGATGGGCCGCACCCCGAAACCAGTTGCAGTTGCAGCAGGAAGTGCCGACATCGTCGTAGTCGTACCTGCTCGCCCACCTCTTCTCGGAGCTGGTGCTTGGTGGCCACTACTCCTGCTGCTGCTCCCGGTGTGGTGAAGCGCTCTTGTGGTAACGGCAGCGGTGCCGCAGGCTTCAGTAACAACTGCTGCTGATGGTTGGCGACGGAAGCGACATGATGATCTTTGCTGAGGGAGTGGCGCGGCAAGGAAGAATGCAGGCGATAGCAAAGGAGCGCAAGACCCCAGAAGGAGCAGGACGGAGCCGAGGGCTAGCTGTGAGGATCTCACGCTCCTTCCACCAGACCTTGCCATCCCTACGCCTCCGTTTCGGTGCCGTGGCTAGCGTGTGAGGTGTCCAGCTTGTTGGGGTACCCGCTGCTAAGATTTCGATAGGTTTCCAACATGCCGCATGAGCGTTGTTCCAGAGGGGACAGCAGCTGGGTGTAGGGGGCTCCGTGAATGCTTCACGCTCCCTCGCTACGGCCGTTTGCTCTTCACCACCTCTGGTGGTACTGCGGGAGGAACACTTCCTGCATATCGTGCGCTCTCCTGACCCTTCGTGCTCCTTCTCTCCGAAGAATTGAGCAGAAATCAGGTGTAACCTGCAAAAATCGTACGCAGTATATTCGCTAGATCACCACCACCCGACAGCACACGATGGGAGATGCGGCCCCCGTAAGCAGATGGGCCCAGCGCAAGCAGCAGCGCGAGATGATGTACGCCACAAGCAGCGATGCAATTCAGGTGTGGAAAGTGTGCAAGTGGAGATGCACGTGATGATGGTGTTGTTTACAAATGCTGTGGATCCTGAGTCTGGTTATTGTGTTAGTTTTAATTTTGGGTTACATGGACGGCCTCCCGTTGCGAGAGAGGGCGAAGTACGCAAAGGAAGGCGCCAACCCACCGACTCTTTTCAATGCATAGATAGCTGGACCTGGCTGCTGGCCTCGTCGGTCTTGAGGCAATTAGCCTGCATGCTGGCCTCTCTGTGTGCCTGGCAATTGAATGGTAGCGCTAATGATAAATTCGACCGCTGCTCGCGTTCCCCGTGCCCTTTGCCTCCCGGAACCGTCGTGTCCGCCGCAGGGAGTCTTCCGCAAGAAGCAGAAAGAGGCAAAGAACATGGTGTGCCAGAAGTGCCTGCAAGTCGGTGAGAGTTGATTGCAACGGGTGTCATTGCTTCAGTTGATGGACTACTGCTGTTGTACCATCGCACAATATGAAAAGCACCCCAACTTTTGTTTTCTCTGCGGTCCTCCTATATGATGTCTAGAGGTAGACTGTTGCATATGCCACCGCCGGGGAGGTGACACTCGATACACGACGACACAGAACCCAGCCTGAACATTGAGTTGTTTTCGGTCCGCAACACAAGTCGACGCACCTCAGGTCAACTGTCTTCACTCAAGCTAGAAGTTTCCCGAAGCTGGTCAACTGTCTTCACTCAAGCTAGAAGTTCCCCAAAGCTGAACTACTTTGATCAACGCGGCACCCTGCATTTTCATCGAGTGTGGAACCACCTACATATACTCTTAACCCACGCGCGTGGCTACCCCAATCCCACCCTACATGCACGCTTGTAAACACTTCGACAACCTGATGCAGGGCATTGGACATACGAGTGCAAGGGCAAGGCCACGTACAAGGCGCGCGTGTCAAGGACCAAAATCCTTGAGAACCCCGACCTAAAGCCCAAGTTCCACCTCGACCTTCCCCCCGGCAAGGAAAAGGACGCCAAAGATGACGCCGACGCAGCAGCGGCGGCAGCCGGCGCCAAGGGAAAGCTTGGCAAGAAGCGGCGCAGGAGAGAAAGCAGCAGCAGCAGCAGCAGCAGCAGCAGCAGCAGCAGCAGTGGGAGCGACAGTGACAGCAGCAGCAGCAGCAGCAGCAGCAGCAGCAGCAGTGGGAGGAGCAGGTGAGTTGGCGAGGGTGTATTGTGGAGATGGTGACAGCTCGTGGTCGTCGTCGTGGACGATGGCGCGATTGGGCTGTGGTTTGTGTTTCGTTTGCTAGTGGACCGTAGAATACTACGCACGTCGTACTTTGTCCAGGGTGGAATGCGCAAGGGAGAGGTTGACATGAAGTTGGGAGTTTCGCCCTTCCAGTTTGGACTTGTTTCAGCGGTCACGGCAAGTTTTGTCGTGTCTGCTTCCTTTTAAATTTCTCGCTCCTGCTGCTCCTCTCGTGTTTTGGCAGTAGCGGGAGCAGCAGCGACAGCGATAGCGATAGCGATAGCAGCTCGGGCAGCAGCAGCTCCGGCAGCAGCAGCTCAAGCGGCAGCAGCAGCAGCAGCAGCAGCAGCAGTGGCTCGGACAGCGACAGCAGCAGCAGCAGCAGCTCAGAGGAAGAGGATAGGAGGGCGAGGAAGAAGCACCGGGGTAGCGGTGGGGCCGCGTACTCCAAGTCCTCGTCGAAGAAGGCCTCATCCTCGAGGCGATAAAAAAACACGCACACGAACCAGTACAGTAAATAAGAGACAGACACCAAGGGCGAGGATCCATTTAAGTTGAGGCCAGGAGTAAGATCTATGGCAACAGCAGGGGCAGAAGAAGCAGTAACGGCGCTGTGCCTGGGCGTTGTCCACACGGGAGAGAAATTCTATCTTGTTGATCAGAATGCAGATTGTGGTCCTCGCTGCTGTAGTGTGGAATGGACAGGGACGGCCCTCGGAATCGGAATGTCTACCTCGTCTTGCTGCTTTGGTCTGAATTTGGGATGGGGTAAGTGGCACTTTGTGGCCTTGCTCACACTCATTAGCGAGGGTTGGCCTTGCTAGACACGTAAGAATCATGTTTGTAGCACAATTCTCCAGCGGGTGGCAGTCGACGGCGTTGTGCACGCTTGCTGCGCTGCTGCCCTACCAGCTTTTAATCCTTCACAGATGCTCAAATCGAAGTCTTGTCGAGAAGAGACAGATACTCCACATGCTTCGATCATTCCAATGCGCTCGTGGCTAGCTCCCACGGTATCAAATCTAGTCGTGTGTAGAGATGCTAAGCATGGGCGAGGCGGTGTCGTTGGGAGCTTTGCCAGGGACGGGATGAGAGGTGTAGATGCGAGTGAGAACCACTGGAGCTCGGACGTTGTATCATTGTTGGTGTGTGTACCATGTGGTATCCATCAGTAGTGTCGACGTCAGTGTAGTGACTGCCGCTTTTTGAGTGATACGGTACTCAGGATGGTCGTAAAGAATCGAGGTCGGCGTACTTCCCTGTTCTTGTAGCGTCAACATTCGATGGCGAAGTGGTACACACAAGTTTCCTTTTGGCCATCCCTCGGAAAGTCAACCTCAAATGATAGATACCACAACAGGGCTTCTCACGGCCAGTAAGGCTCGAGGTAAGACTCGAAGAGCCCGACGCGTGTCGCATCCACCGGGGCAAAGGGAAAGAGATACACCCTCTACCACAAAGACATAAATTGGACGCATGAGGAAGCTCGGCTCTAAAGGTGTCGTTAGGAAATTGCGAATGCTCGGATTCGAAGAAATCCAAGGACCAAGATTGCCCTCACATATTCTGGACAATACTCTCAGGTGTCTCCTTGTACCTTATATGCGACCCGGTGGAGTTTTGAGTGCGTTGCGGGGTTGCGTGGTCGAGTCGGGTGTCAAAATCTTGGTAAGACAACGCGGTCCCCCGGATACACTCGCGGGAAGCATCCGCGGAAATCTGAACTCATGTCAAACGGCCATGAAAGCGCTCCGGGTCTCGGGGCTGTGCACTGGAACCGGAGGGACCCTGGAACCCACCGCCACGAAGCCTTAAACAAGGATACCCTTTACATCGCTGTGATCAGCGTTTCTGTTCGTTGGACAAGTGGAGCGACCACCGTTTTGCCGTTGCGATGACAAAGCTGAGTGTGGCCCTCAAGATAAGTTGTTGGTTCACATACTTTCAGACAGGAACGCGGGTGAGGTCCTTGTCATCGGTGCACTTCGCGGCAAAGGTAATATCCTCTTTGGCCAGATACTGCAGAAGAACGCCTGCGCACGCAAGGAAATAACATGTGACAGCAGATCGGACAGTGCACCTCGCCGGTCTCCGTCGCGAAAGGAGGATAATTTTAGACGCAATGCCCTGAAGCCCCGTCTACATGCTCGTATTGGCGAGAAAATCTCGACGGCGAGTTTTGCGTGTAGGGCATCAAGCACTTGAGGGCAACTCGGCCCCACAACGGGCACAAGATCCAGCCCGGCACCCCACTCAGTTGTTTTTCTTTTTTTTTAATTTTTCAATCTCCCGTGTTTGATTTCACTCCTTGGCGTAACCGTGCCGCACCCCCCCCCCCCCCCCTGTTGGTGAAAATCTAACCCCCCCCCCCCGTGGGGGCCCCCAAAATCCAAACACCAAAAAAAAGGAAAAGGGGGTTCTCTCCATGAAAAGAAACCCTCTACCGGAAAAACCAAAAGACCCAAAGAAAAGGTCCACGACCCTCCCCTGGGGGGGAAACCCCTCAAAAACCTCTCCCGAAAACCCTCTCTCTCCTCCTTT